ATAATAGAAAGGACACCATATACACAGGAGGACGTCCTTTATAGCGGGAGGACGTCCCTAAACCACAAAGGACGTCCTTCGGCCTATATTCCCGTCCTTCATCCCCATGTCCGTTTTTTCTCTTAAGAAGTTTAAAAATGTTATAATAATGAAATCAATAATATTTTAAAAATAATTTGTATGATAAAATAGTATAATTATACTTAATTAATAGTTATTTTTTTTATTATATAAATAATATATTAATTATAATTTGTAATATATAAAAATTCTATTTATAAAACAACCCAATTATTTAAAATAATGACAAAAACAAAAAGTAGTTTATATTTTTAAATAGTTTTTTAATGATTTAAATATATTTTAATTAATTGTTAATAGTAAAATAAATTTACAATATAAAATTTGTCACCTATCAAAAATAAAAATAACAAATTACAAATAGCAATTTTTAATGATTCGATAAAAATCTTTAAAAATATGGTTATTTGTCGACCAAACAAATGTCAGAAATTGTTAACAAAAATGCGAAAAAAAATAAAAACGATATTGTGACGTGTTTTTTTCGCGTCAATTTTATTATAAAATGAAATAAGGCATATATATTATTTGGTAAAAAGTATGTTACAATAAAATTTATAATTGGTACAATTGGTTTGAAAATGCCTTTAAAACAAGTTAAATCCAACAACAATTGATAGAAAGGGCAAAAAATGGATTCTATAACCATGTTTGCAAATTAACAATGTAAAACGATCACTCTCGAAGTTTTTTATATGACGAACTCAAAGTGGATTTGGTCTTAACGTTTCCACCATTTCGACAATCCGCAATAGAACCTCCGAAAACGTTCGGTATTGTTTAAAAGGAGCCATTGACACAACTTGTCATAACACACATGTCTAAACAAGACGTTCAAACAAGACTTCTTCACCCAGAAAAGTCCCATATTGCTCACTCTCATGTACTCCCGATCTTCCAGACCTCGACTTTCTGTTTCGACTCGACACAACAAGGTGCCGATCTCTTTATGGGAAAGGGTGAAGGCCATATCTATTCCAGACTTGGTAATCCAAGTGTCGAACTTTTTGAAAATATGATGGCTGAATTGGAAGGAGCTGCTGGATCTGCTGCATTTTCGTTTGTTAATAGTGTTTATTCTAAAAAGGAATTTAACTCATGAATAGATGTGGTATGGGTGCTGTTAATTCATCAACTTTGGCATTTTTACAAAAGGGAGACCATTTAATTGCTGGAGACACTTTATACGGATGCACCGTATCACTCTTCGAACATTGGCTTCCAAGGTTTGGCATAGAAGTCGACTTGGTTGACACTTCAGATTTGGAAAAGGTCAAGAAAGCGTGGAAAAGCAACACCAAGATGGTCTACTTGGAATCACCAGCAAACCCAACTAATAAGGTATCTGACGTCATTGCTATTGCACAACTCTGTAAGGAGAATAAGGCCAGACTCGTCATAGATGCCACTTTCTCATCACCATACTTCTTCCATCCACTTCAACTTGGCGCAGACATCGTATTGCATAGCGCAAGTAAGTACATTAATGGTCATGGCGATGTCATTGCTGGCGTCACTTCGACCAAGACTAAAGAAGATATAATGACTATTAAGGCGTACAGAAAAGACGCGGGAAGCTTGATGTCACCATTCGACGCTTTCTTGTGCGTGAGAGGATTAAAGACATTGCCTATGAGAATGAAAGCACATTGCGAGAATGGAATGAAAGTAGCGAGATGGTTGGAGACACAAGAAAAGGTGTTGAAAGTTAACCACCCAGGATTGGAGTCCTTTGAAGGTCACAAACTTGCCGCAAAACAGTTAACTGGATATGGAAGCACTTTCTCATTTGAAATGAAAACATTCGAAGCAGCGAAAAAGTTAATGGAACATGTCAAGATATGCACACTTGCAGTCTCTCTAGGGTGTGTTGACACTTTAATTGAACACCCAGCTTCTATGACACACGCTGCAGTCCCAGAGAATATCATGAGAAAACAGGGAATTACTCCAGAAATGGTCAGGATTTCAATTGGTCTTGAAAACCCAGATGACATTATCAACGATCTTAAACAAGCTCTTGCTCAGTGTTAATTGACTCATCTTTTCAGCTTTTTGTTGTTTGTTGCTAAGTAAAATGGATGAAAAAACTCATTTATTAATTATTTACTTCAAAATGAAAGATCAACACATAAAATGAATTAAATTTGATCAATTGGAGTATTAATAAATTGAATATATTGATTACTTATTGATAATCAAACTATATTTTTTATTAAAAATACAAACCAAAACACAAACAAAATGATGAAATTCAAACTATAAAAAATCAAACGAGGATCGAAGACAGATTTTCTGACTCACTAAAACAAAGACCATTTGGCTCACTTTCAAGTATTTCATACTTATTGAGTTGTTCTCGGATCATAGAAAGTCGCAAGTTTTTCTTCGAGCTTGTGTCTAACGAAAAACGTTGTCTTGGCTTCGGCTTATCTGCTTTGCATTTCAAAGAAAGTAATGGCAACTTTTTGTGTTCAACAGCTTCATCTTTCTGTGGTTCTGGTGATACATTTATTGTGGGCTCAATCTTTGTAATTTCCTCGGTTTCCATAGGAGACATCGACTTCTCTGGAGTAGTAGGGAGGTACATTTTTGGCGAAGTCCGACTTGGTTTTGGGGAAGTTGTCAGAAAAAGTTGGATGAAGTCTTTAAACGCAGAGTTTGTGTCGAAAAGGGATGAAGATGATGGGTCGCCCCATATGTCCCAGACGTAGCATTGGTGTGACACATGAAAGTTTCTTGAACAAAAGTCGGGTTCTCGTCCCTTAACTACTTTACTTTCTTTAATTAAGTAAGAATAGGTGACGTCTTCGTTTGGAATAAGTTTTGATGTGTATGTCCAAACATGTCCAGCAGACCATTCCATGATCAACTCTTTTCCATTGAGGCGTATATACATATTTTCCCCATATGTAGTACGGTAGTTTAATGAGAACGTCACGTTCATTACTATCACACCTTTGACTTTTTCCGTTCCTTTTATCGCCAATAACAACCGTTTCCATTTGCCACTTTTTTAGACCACTAATGGAGTTTTAATCCCAATCACCCGGTGTTTTCTGGGCATTCCCTCCAATTTTCCTGTGATTAAAATAAATTTCGTGAGAATCAATTTAGACAGACATTTCTTATCTTATTTCACATGTCTAACTATTGCAATTGTATAAATAACAATCAAACACCATTTTTTTATTTTTTAAATTATAAATAAATTAGTTGTCCATTAGAAACCCAAAATAAATGAAACTCTGTATCTTTTTAATGATTTGTTTATTATAATAATAAGGTATTGTTTATATTTCTATTGGTTTAACAACAAATCAGGTAAAATTCCCGATTTTTTGATTAAATTTACAAAATGGCACTCTGCCTTTGTGTAAAAATTATAAAAATATTTTTTAATTAACAGAAACCATTTTAATACTTTAAAAAAAACAATTTTTGGAGTTTTTAATCATGGAATTGTTAATTATAAAATGGTTGAAATTAATTAGAAATTATCTATAAAGTCTTACATAAGGCTAAGTTGAGCCTAAGGCAGAGTAAAATATTTATATTGTTATTCAGAATTTTTTAAATATTTAGTTTATTGGTTTTCAATCATCTGACAATCAGGGCTTTTTGATCAGCTGAATCAGCACCCTATTTTCTTTTTTAGGAGATGTTATCCGTACAATATAGATGGAATTGATTATTACCAAATTGATATCAGAGCCTGTTTAAAACAAACAATAACAAGCAAAAATAATTATTTACTCTTCAATAACTCGAAATTTTAATTTTAATTTTATATGTTGAATTTTGTTGTTTGTTGTTGATATTATAATTGAATAATACATTGAAAATAATATATATATAGAATTTAGACCAAAAATTGTGTTTTTTTTAATAATAAATAAAATTATTTCAATTAGAATTGAAAAAATATGATAAAATATAGTAATATCTTATCATCCAATTGTATAAACACAAAAGCGTAATGGAATGACTTAAACTTCGGCTACTCTTTTGACAACCTTTTTCTTTCTGACAACAGGCTCCTTCTTCATTACGGAGACATCTCCCAAAGCGTCGACCTTTCCACCCGCCTTTCTTGCGGCAGCCATTTCCGCCTTCTTCTTCTTTTCCGCCTCTTTCTTTGCTTCCTTCTCAGCAGCTTCCTTCATCTTTCTGTTCTGTTCGACGGCGTCCCTCCACGCCTTCATGAACGCAGCAATTGGCTTAAAGAACTCTTCTGGTGCTTGTGGCTTCTTTGTATCTTCGACAAAGAATCCCAAAACTTTGACATACTTTTCGTTCATTGTAGTGAAAAATTCCTTCAAACTGTCCAAGTCAGACTGGGAAGCAAGCAAAAACGCCTTCATGACTGGGAGGAACTCACAGTCGGGCTCTTCAGGAACCTTTTCAACTGACTTCTCGATAGTTTTGAAGAGTGATGTCAAAGCACCAATTTCACCTTCAAATTGTGCGCCAGGAACTTTTGCGGCGAGTTCGATTGCACTCATCTCCTCTTCCCATCCCAACACTTCGTCTTTGAATTGCGTCTCAACGGTCTCGGCAATGAAAGCAAGTAATGTTCTCTTGTTGTCACTTGTCTTTGTTTCGGACAACTTCCCCAATGTGTTGAACTTGAAACCGTGGCACTTCGCACGTGCAGTTCCGTGGTTCAAGTAATTCCCAATCAACAAAACAAGTTCCATCAATTTCAAAAACTTTTTGCTGTTCATGATTTGGTCACATGCGTCGTCTACTTTCTTCATGTCAGGACGAATCTCAGACAACTTGACTGGAAACTCCAATTTTGAAGCAAACGCATCCAACTTTACACTAATTTGCTTGATTTGGCAAAGAGCGTAAGCAAATTGTTCAGCAACACCAATATTGGATTCGTCACCATTGTGCTCCTTGTAGTACGCAAAGACAGGTTCCATCTCTTCTGTCGATGGAATTGCTTTAATCAAGTTCCTTATTTGTGCTGGCTCTTCAAAGAGTGTATTATCCAACTTGTTGATACCCATACACACCTCCTTTACTGTCTTCCCTTTAAAGCCTTTCAATGTAATCGTCAACGTCTGATTCTGTTTTGCGTCCAATATACACACAGGACCTTGCTTCTTTGGTTCTTTCGATGTCTCCGTTTTGACCTTTTCTATTACCTTGAAGGAGTTCTCCATCAACTCAAAGTCAATTGGTATTTTACTCAATGTGTCCATTTTTAAGAAAACAGTCCCATTCAGTTGTCGGTCATTCAACTTCTGCCACTGGAAATTCTTCACTTTCGATTTGGGCTTTGGAAGGGTCATGACAAAGGAATTCGGCTTTTGGGCTCCACCCATCATTCCCGGCATACCCATCCCTGGAGGGGGCATCATCCCTGGCATTCCCATTCCGGGTGGTGGCATCATTCCCGGGGGCATCATCATACCTGGAGGGGCAAGTCCTCCCGGAGGTGGTAACATTCCTATTAATTAGAATCCTATGAAGCCCAATGTATAGCATATATGATGTTTTACATATATAGATGTAATTTAAAAACAAACCTGGTGGCATCATACCTCCCGGGGGTGCCATTCCTGGAGGTGGCATCATTCCACCTGGTGGAGCGAGTCCTATTTGTTATATCATTGTATTTAAAAAAATAACACAAACCTGGCGGCGGTAACATTCCTGGTGGCATGAGTCCACCTGGCGGAGCTAGACCTGGTGGTGGCATCATTCCTCCTGGTGGCGCAAGACCTATTTGTTATTGATCCAATAGAATATAAATAGTACTTTAAAACTACTATTGTGATGAAATACAAACCTGGAGGTGGCATCATTCCACCTGGTGGAGCAAGTCCCGGTGGTGGTAACATTCCCGGTGGCGCGAGACCGCCTGGTGGAGCTAAGCCTGGTGGAGGGAGCATTCCTCCCGGTGGTTCAAGTCCTTAATGTTAATTTCAATTTTGTGAAACATATAATATTTGTCATCAAATAGAATGCAAAAATACAAACCTGGTGGCGGTAACATTCCTGGTGGCGCAAGTCCCGGTGGTGGGGCGAGTCCTCCTGGTGGTTCAAGTCCTGGTGGTGGTGCAAGACCACCCGGTGGTGCCAATCCTGGAGGTGGTGCAAGAGTTCCTGGTGGTGGTAACACTTCCTGTTTTTTGGCGACTGAAGCGTTAGAAGCTGGTAAGGCAGTATTTACTTTTCCAATTGAAACAACATTTTTACTTGCGTTTTCAAGGTCTTTCTGGTACTTTGCAAGATCATCTTGGAACCCTTTCAATTTAGCTTTTGCACCATTGAGTGCTTCTTCTAATATTTTCGACTGTCCATTTGCTTGTCTTTTACTCTCCTCGAGTTTAGAGACATCCTTGTTACGCGTGTTGAGTCGGTCCTTTGCAGCCTCGAGTTTGTTTTTGTACATCTCACTTTTCTCTCTGACTTTAGTAAGGTCCGCGTCCATTACAATCGACTTTGCGGGGATCGTAGCCTTCTCGAACAACTCCCTTAACTTGACCTTTTTACCACAAAGATCAAATGTATCGTCATATGGTTCAAACCCTTCGACTTTTTTACACTCAAGTTCGTAAAACATAACCATTCTACTGACACATTCCAAAGTCATCCACTTTGAAAGTGTTATAGAAGACGAATCTGATGTTGATAACAATGCAGCCTCTTTCAGAAGTTCTTTAAAACAACTTTCTAAGCCTAAGTCTTTCAACATATCATACGCATTTTTAAAAGTGTCATCGTCTTTCACAAGGTCGTTTGCTTCATCATCTTTTTTGTTGAAATAATCGATAATGGCATTCATACGCGTTTCATCCTTTTCAAGTACGCCAACAGCGTTATCATAAGAGTCCATCACAGGGTCATCTGTCTCTCCAAATTCATCGGAAACTTTTGCCTCAAATTTCGTGAGTCCAAGGCAAACAAGTTCGTTTTGCAAGTCGACTCGAAGATAAAAGTTTGTAATGTTTTTCATAATTGTCTCGATGAGTGTCATTGTTGCCTTGAGGAGGTCTTGGTTGTCCGTTTCAAACAAATTCATTAGCCATTCAAATCTGATTCGATTCTTTCTTTTGTTCTTCAGCTCTGTGGACGCTCGAATAATGTTTCTCACATCAACCTTAGCTGGAAGGGTTGGGTTCTCTTTAGGATTTCCAGCAGCTTTTATGAGAATGTTATTCACTAAAAAGACTCGGTCTTGTGGGGTGACGGTCTTGAACCACATGATACACAAGATGTATTGGATATAATCCAAGTTCACAACAATCTCCTTGATAACATTCTCTGATGGCATTAACTTCTTGAGGATGACAAATATGAACTTCTCAAATTCGGGTATTTCAGTTGGTTTGAAGGTCGAGCCGAGAATAAACCGTGAGACCATTTTGAAAAAAGCATCTACACCTTTGTTTGAGATGAATTGGTCCAAAAATGCGTTGGTGCATGTTCTCATAGTGATGGAGACATCTTGTACATCCTTAAGTGTAAATGATGAGTTTAATAACTTTGAAATGATACCGCTTGGTGTTGCATCTTCTCTCTTCATATTTTTAGAGCTTGACTTGTTCATATGAGAAAATATCAAAGCGTCTACTTGTGGCTTTTTCAGAATACCAATTTTGACTTTGGTCTCCGTTTCAATTTCTTTGATAATTGCTTCTCTCTCTTCGGGAGAAAGTTTTTCGACTGCATCTATTTTTTCATCAGAATTGGAATTTGTGTTGTTTTGTGCTTGAACACTTGGAGATGTGGGGCTCTTTGGTTTTTCTACACATTTCTTCTTTTTCAGTTTTTCTTCACATTTTTTGGCATGGACGACGAGGCCACAGTTCACACAACGTACAGCGGAGTCCTTTGGTTTCAACGCTTTTTGACATTCCGCGCACGTCGTGTTCGCCGGAACTAGTTTCAACGGTTCAAAATTGTGCGACATGAATATCCGAGTTTTCTAAAATCTCTAATTTGGGATTATTCTATTTATTACACTTGTATTATGTCTGTATTTTCCCGTTGTTCACGGTTATTCTTTCCTTTCCCATTTTTATTTATTATTTTTCAACTTGAATTATCAAGTTTATTGAGATGTTTGAGTTGTAGTTGGTTTTATATAACTAAAAAAAGTTATTGTGATAGTTTTGATCTGTAAAAAAAAGTATTGTTTGTCAATTATTATTTATTTTTTAATAATTTATTTATAGTTTTATGTATAATTTATAGTTTATTTTTATTGTTTTTGTGAGATTAATTTAATCATTAAATGACATTTATTCCATATACATTTTTGCCGATTTGATATGAAAAATAAAACCGAGCTTTGCAAAAGAAAGTTTGGACTTATTAATTCTATAACAATACAAAATTGTCTGAATGGAAATAATTAAAAAATGTTTTTAAGTTTACCAAAGTAATTAATAAATATTAATAAAGGTGACTATCGTTATTCTTTCGACATAAATGATTATCGTAAATTACAAGTAAAAAGAAAGGATGGACACGGGACAAAGTACTGGAAAATAAGCAAAAGGATGTTTTTGTTGTTTGAGGATGCCCTCCCGCTATTAAAGACGTCCTCCTGTGTATAAGGATATCCTTTCTATTATTTTCGTGTTCAAAGGCATGAAAAACCGATAAAGTATTATTACAAAAATATTAATTTTATTGTAATCAACTCTGTCAAACTTAAACATTACACAAGTTTGTTACTTTGTCTGTTGATTTTTCCATTTATTGTAATTTGGTACCTTTTCTTTTAACCCTTTCAGCATACTTGGGACTGCGCTTTTTGACATGGAATTAACGATCCATTTGGGTATTGAACCACCAACGTTTGAACATCCGACACAATAAACAACAACTTTATCATTTTCCTTCCGAACCAAATAACCAGATAATCCAACAGTTCCTCGAACATACCCATTTTGTACAGGGTACTTGTTATCATCAACAGACTCGTAACGACAAATTCGTTCTTCAACGCCTTCGTTAAACAGCGTGGCAATTTCACAATCAAAAACAAACTCCCGGTTTGTCACAACAGGAACCTTGACTAGCATTTGTATGACTTTAATATTCTCGGGTTTTGTGTCAACGACGTTCCACTCAATGACTAATGGGTCCCACTCTTTGTGAAAATCGGGGTCTATGATAGAATTGAAGACGTCTTCAATAGGGAGGTCTTTGAAGTCATTTGATACAACTTTAACGGCTATAACTGAGTCTGTGGCATTGATACTTTGATATTCCTTTTGAACACCATCGCTCATACATTCTATCCAGTTCGTTTCACTTAAACACATGTCTCGAAATTTATGAAGAGCATCACTCGTCGTTTGTTCCATTATTTCAGTAATATTACTCTTCTAAGTTTTTTTTAATAATATTGCTAATCGAATAATTGTTTATAAGTTATTATTAATTATATCTTATTTGTTTTGATAGTAATAATAAAATGATGTTGTTTTATTGTGTAAAACATTTGAAAAAATAATACAATGAAAACCTCAAAATGAACTTTTTAAGATTAATAATCCGTTTTTGTCAAAAGAGGAAATGGGAACATATGAAGTGTTACTATTAAAAAACAACCCAAAATATAGTTGGGAAAGAAAAAAAATGACAAAAAGAATTATAGTTCTTGTAAAAAGAAAATTAAAACTGTAATACTTAAATGAATTTGCACTTAACAATTGTGTGTGGGGTAAATCTCGAGATAGGAGATATCTATACTTCTGATCCATATGTTGTTTTTTCTGTGAACAAACAAACATATAAAACGAATACCATAAAATCGACATTAGACCCAGTCTGGAACAAATCGTTTGACTTTCAGGTGACTCCGGGCACTTCAATTGAATTTCGAATCTTTGATTACAACACAATTGGTTCTGACGACTTCCTCGGTAATTGTTTTTGGTATGTTCCTCAGATGCGCACTTCAGAGAAGCGAAAAGAAATTTTGAAAGTGAAAGAGAAGGGATTTTTTTATTTTGATGTTGATTGTGTTTCTGGACAAAACGTGGCGCCCAACAATGTTATAACAAGAGAAGATAAAATGTTGTTGGAACTTAATTTTGAGGAGATTTATGGATTTGCAGAAAGTTTCTTCAAGAAATACAATAAATACACCACAAAAAACATCACTTTTACTGTAGGTGTATCGACTCCACTCACCCCCAAACAATATTTAATTTCTAAAAGTGGTAACGACAAATCGGATTTAACTAAAACGTCATTTGATCAAGCACTTAGGGTGGAAGCAAGGGTCGGAGATCAAATAACATTCGAACTTTGCTCGAAAGTGGGAAGAGACAAACTCGATGTGTTGGGGTGTTCAACGTTTACTGTGCCTGACTTGTTACCGAATGAAGCGTTTGAAGTTAGCACTGCGGTTGAAGAGAGTGGGATGATACGAATGATTATGACGTGTTTGCGGAGTGTTTATCAGAACATGGATGTGCAATTAATACCAAAAGTACCCAATTTTCAAGGAAATTTTAACATCATCATTGAAAAACTCGAGAAAGTCATAATGAAAGGATACTTTTATTGCGTTGTCGAAATTAAAGATTTGGTTTACAAAACAGCATATTTACAACCAATCAATGGGACTGTCACGTGGAACCAATTCGGCATTGCAGAATTTGAAGATGGAGATCTTTGCCGATGCTCTATCTTCGAAAAGAATCCACAACTGGTCACCCGAAAAGGTGACAAAAAGGGAGAATCCAAAGTGCGACTTAATGCGATGGAATGTACTGGAATGGCTGTTGTACCAATCGAGGACTTTGGTGAACTCACACTGCGATTTGAAAGAAATAGAAGCGTTAATGATGAGTATTACCAAATATGTGACCAAACAGTTAATAATTCGGGACTCATTGAAAATGTGACAGAAATAGAAATTCAACAACCAACAGTCGATGAGGGGGTCGATGATAATGTAAACATTAATCAACTCAATGGAGAAACTTTTGAGCAAATTGACATAGAACCAAATGATAAATTTACGAAAGTTGAGGACGCATACAAAAAGGAGGTCGAGCAAGAAGAAATGATTAAAAGTATCAAAGAAACTGAAATAAAGGAAATCACAAGGAAACTACAGACTTTGGATAATAAAGATTTGTTAGTTGTATCTGCAGCTCAACAACAAAATGTAACACCTCCACAAATTGAACCAAAAAATGAGTGTGTTATGTACGATTTTACACATGAAGAACCACCTCAACAAGAACAACAAGAACATGAAAAATATCAGGAACTTGTCCCTCCAATACTTCCACCACCAAGAAAAACACAACAAAATACAACAATTTTAACAGAAGAAAACACACAACAAACATTACAAAGTGTAACAAATTTAGATGGCACTAAAGACGACACCATTGAAAGTAATTTGGCACCTGTTCTCCCATCGAAACCAAAAAGATTATCACAAAATAAAAATATACATCCATTAAATAATGACGAAATTGATCAAACAAAGGAAAAACCAACTGAACTAACACAACAAATCACACAAATAGACGAAACCCCAAAAATTAACATAAATGTTGATGAGTTGGAATGTAAACTAGAAGATGTTGTCCCTGTTCTTCCACCAAAACCAAGAAGATTATCGCAAAACAAAGGAAAAACAATACCAAAAATGGAAGAAGAAGTGTCAAAAGTGGAAAAACAAGACGAAGAAAAACATGATCCAATCGTCACACCTATCACTTTAAAAGACGACCAAAAGGAAATTTCACAAAAGGAAAAACAAATAGAAGCACTTCCACTGGTACAACAACATGAGGAATCGATACAAAAAGAATTACCAAAACAGGAAAATAATAGTTCACCTAATGTCACAACACAACAACAAGCACTCCAAATAAATGTCACAACAAAGACTGAACCAACTGTGTCTAAGGAAACAGAACACAAACAACACGACGTTAAACCAGTAAACTTAAGACCTAAAGAACAACGAAAACCAGTGAGCACACCAGCACACCCTCAAACTCAGCAAAGAAAAACAGTCAAGAGCACAATAATTGAACCTTCTTTGAAGCAAGAAACAAATGCGAAAATGACATTCTCACAGACAATACAAAAAGAAGAGAAAAGTTGTGAAAGTCCAAAAGGCAAACACAGAGTTGTTCCAACTGCCCAGACATCTCAACAACAAGAAAACGTGGAATTGTTATCTTTTAAAGACAGATTTGTGATGTTCGAGAAATTGACGAAAGATACGGACAGCAAACAAGTGAAGACATCAAATGCTAACGACATGTCACAAAAGATGGTTGCAGTCTCAAAGGTTGCAACTCAGTCGGCAACACTTTTACAACAACAAACAGCAAAAACTACACCACTTCCATCAAATACAACAGAACAAAAGAAAAAGACACCACCCCAACTGCCAAAAAGAAAAGCACCACCTCCTTTGCCACAAAGAGGTTCGAAACCGTCAGGTGGAAAGGTGGGACCAAGTGGACAGAAGAGAAGGCCACCTCCCAAAGATATTTCAATGAAAGACTTCAAATAACTGAGTGTTTGGGTTTGTTCGATTTGAATGTGTTTGTTCAAAATTATACACAAACAGAAGAAGGCACATTTGTTTTGACATGTTCGCCACGACAAAACACAAGGAAGAGTAATTTCTCTTATTATTAACAAGCATTTGTGGTCTAAGGGCAGAATTCCACCCTTCCAAGGTGGAGATCCGGGTTCGAGTCCCGGCAAATGCACTTTTTATAAAAATAAAACTTTTACAACCCACTTGCATTGTCACTGTGTTAAGAGTCGATAACCCCTTTCTCACCAAAGTAGAGCACAACCCACCGCACACCATCATTGAAGCGCATCTTGTCGTCAAAACCGAGCATATCAAAATGACTTTCTACATCACAACACGAGTGGAGAACTAGCAACGGGTTTGTGAGCAATACGTTTTCGTACTTTGGTTGGAGAGTTCCAACAAGAGACTATCAGAGATGTGTTGTGTGAACGGCGCATCCTCATATCGCAACACAATGCTGGTGAGATCCACAGTGATGTCGACTTTGAAAAA